GAAGGGGATCTTCATCGCGTGAGCAGTCGCGCAGGGTGTGATAGACTGCTTTCACTGGGAGGGGGAAGGGCTCTGCAGGTGCATTTGGGTATGTATCTCTCGAGAGTTAGATGCACTACGACTGTGATGACTACATATCGGCTGGTGAGTACTATTGGCATGACACGACCGGCATTGCCGTGCGTGGCGGTAAGTGCGGTCTGGGGAATCATTGGAGTATCGGCATGTCACTAGTAATCATCATGGTCCGCGCTCGCGGCACCTGTCGCCGCCACCGGCCCTCGCCACCACCTACCCTCGCCACCTGCGTCGTCCCCTACATCAGCACACAGCATGAGTTCTGCTTCTTCGCCTGCGTGTAGAACTGCTTGCTCTGCCAGCTGAGCCCGTCGCTCTTCTCGACCAGCCGGTCGATGCTCTCGCCGCGCTCCAGCACGCTCTTGATGGTGCTGTGCAGCACGATCTTGGTCTCGTCCAGCTCCTGCTGGATCTTCATGATGCTGTCCGCGGCCGCGGGGTCCTGGTACTTGACGATGTAGCCCGGCAGCGCGGGGAACGCGAGGGGCAGGCTGACCGCGTCGCCGAGGAAGTCGGTGCGCGGGTGCAGGACGAGGAACTCGTCCGCGAGCTTGGACAGGATCTGGTGCGCGACCAGTTTGGGGTACTCGTGGTCGGAGATGATGAGGGCGCATATCCCCTCCGAGCGCGAGTAGGCATGGAATGTGTAGTTGTCCGCCTCTGCCTCTGGCGCTGGCCGGCGTGCGTGCGCTCTGCGACGGTCCTGGCGAACAGCGACATGAACTCCGCGTAGCTGTTGGTGAGGGGGAAGGAGGCGAGGTGTCAGGAGGGTCTCGCTGGCGGGGGAGGAGCAATAAGGCAGGGCTGACCTGTCTCTTGTGAATCGCGAGAAGCTGCTGAGGTCCTTTTCGCCACATAGCTCGATGGCTGGCCGCGTCTCATTGCGGTATATCTGGGAGGCACGGGGATGTTAGCGACGGTTGCGCACAGGTAGGGAGGGGGCGAGTAGCAGAGCTAGCGCGTCAACGCACACCCATATGGTAGATCTTCATGGTGGCGGCGGTGGTGTCCTGCCCGATGCCGAGCTGTCGGGACTGTCGATGGGGCTCAACGGCTGGTGTCTTGACCAGTGCGATGCTGCTGGAGCGGGCACCAAGGCTATCGGCTGGCGGTGCTATCTCGACGGGAGGGTGGTTATGCTGACGCTGACACTGACGCTGATGCTGCTGCTGCGGGACACCAGGCTGGTGGAGGGCGCGATGTACCGGCTACGAAGCTCGCCTGCACAGCTCCAGACAGGCGCATCTCGCCTGCTTCTCCTCCTCCTCCTCCTCCTCTGCCTGCCGCCGTCGATCGGCTGCGTCGACGCACGGGCCGCGGGGGCATCGGGCATCGCATGTCACGGCGGACGGCGGACGGCGGTAGGCGGTACAGGGATCGCTCGATGATGGCCGCTGGATGATGGGCGACGCAAGGCTGGCTGCGCGTGTTCATGCCGTCCTGTCCGTCCGTGCCCAGCTGGCTGCTCGATTGCCGGGATCCGCATCGCATCGCAGGCTGACAGCACGAGGATTGCAATTGCAGCTCGTCGAGGAGGCCCGGCCATTGCAACCGGTCGAGCACGCCGTGCGATTCCCGCTCAGCTCAGCATGGGTGCCGGCGCCAGCACGCCCGCCAACGCCGCTGGCGGTGCCATTGGCTCGCGGGCAGCAGGTCAAGCCGGCGAGGGAGACAGCAGCGTCTCGGCAGCACCGGTGTGCCCCGTCGACTCTAAGGCGCGCGAGGTCTGGCTAGCGCAGCATGGCAGCGGGCGTGGTGGTGATGGTGGTGGTGATGCCAGCGCATCTCCCGACGCTGCGGCCCTGAAGACTCGCCCTCTCTCCTCGGACCGCGAGATCAGCTGACTGGGCCGTATGATGACGATGGCACGGAGCTGCAGCGCTTGCGGGACCTGGCCTAACCGTCATGGATGGCACGATGCAACTCCCAAGCGACGGGTGGCGGCCTGCAAGTTCAGCCTTGCCGGGCAGATCAGTCGTGAGTCGACTGCTGTCAGCCTGCCCTGCACCTGGAGCGCGCGGCGAGCGCATGGTATGGCTGCCTATGGACTGGACTGGTCTGGCTGGTGGAACGGCGGCACAGCCCTCTTCAGAGTGGCGTCCGTTCATTCGCGCGCGGATGCACGCGCACTGTGGCAGTGCGCCAGCCTGATTCAGAGTTCAGCTCGACAGCAGTGGCGCAGGTGTCAGCAGGGCAGGGCAGCCTACGATACGATGCTCCCCGGCGGCCTTGTGGGCGTGGCAAGCCGCGACGCCGTTGCCCGCCCGCAGATCATCCAGGTGGTGGTGGCTTGCCATGCAGACTGCCATGCAGACCAGGCGGCTCGTCGAATCTCACGCCTCAGCACTAGTGCCCGAGATAAGCGCAGACGCGCACACGTGCACACGCACTCGCGTGTCACCACTAGAACCAGGGCCAAGATGCTGCCACGGGCACGCTAGCCAAGAGCACGCCATGCACCGGCCGTGCCAATGGCAGGCCTTGCCTGGCCGCACGCCGGTTGGCAGCGCAGATGCACGCAGCGTTGGTTGCACCAGGACTCGGCAGACGGCAATCTGATTGCTTGGCGCCACCGACGGGATTGGAGGCGCTGCTGCGTGCGATGCTCGCATCGCACGCACTACTCCGTCGTTAACGACGGGGTTCCCAGTATAGGGCAAGCCATATCAGACTCAGCCTGGCCCCAGCTCGAGTGGACTAGAATGGACTAGTATAGATGGGCACACGCGTGCTGCTGCACCGCCCGGCTCGATCATGGCTGAGGCCGTGCGACCGACGACCGATCATGTACCGGCCGGGCTGCTGACTCTCCGGGGCCACCGCGCCGCGCCGCGCTGGCGAGTGTCAGACGATGACGATACTGCTGCTGCTGATGCTCGCCACACTCCACATCTCGGCGCGATCGGCTGCTGCGGGGAGGGGCACTGGGATTGGCACTGGGATTGGCACTGGGATTGGCACTGGGACTGGGGCTTGTCGTGAGGCGGCTGCGCTGCGCTGCGGCTGCGGCTGCGTCGCCGCGTGTGCGTGGTTAAATAAGGTCGCGGTCCCCTCCATGTCTCAAGCGGGATTGCAGAGGTGACTAGGATGTGCTAGACTCACGATCCACCCTACAACAGTCGCCTGAAGCAGCAGACTACCACTCGCACTCTACCATCCGTCCATTTGGAGTTTCATTGGCAATCAGCACACCTCTCGCAATGTCTGCCAACGACTACTACGGCAATCAGAACCAGGGCTACGGCCAGCAGGGCTACGGCCAGCAGGGCTACGGTCAGCAAGGCTACGGTCAAGAGCAGCAGGGCTACGGCCAACAGCAGCAGGGCTACGGCCAGCAAGAATACGGCCAGCAGCAGGGCTACGGCGGCCAGCAAGGCTACGGTCAACAAGGCTACGAGCAGCAGGGCCAGGGCTACGGCCAGGGCTATGACCACCAACAGCAAGGACAGTACGGCCAGCAGCAGGGCTACGAGCGCCAGGAGGGCCAAGAGTACGTCCTGCCACCCCTCCTCACCTCGAGCCCGATCGATCGCTGACTGACATCACACATCATCTGCAGAGGCGCGCCCGGTGGTGCAGGCGACGGCGAGCGTGGCCTTGGCGGCGCTCTAGCCGGCGGCCTGGCCGGCGGCTTTGCCGGCCACAAGGCTGACCACGGCATCCTCGGCGCCATCGGCGGCGCACTGCTCGGCAGCTTCGCGGAGGACAAGGTCAAGAAGCACAAGGAGAAGAAGCGCATGGAGGAGGAGATGAACCAGCAGCCCCAGCAGTACGGCGAGTCGTCGTACGGCGAGCAGGGTGGCTACGGTGGCATGTACAAGCAGTGAGGGGTTTACTTGCCGGCTTGAGGGGATGGTCGGAGGGGTTTTCTAAGATTGCCTGCATCTGTCGTCGTCATTGTGACCAGCAAAGCTGGTGAATGAGTTTCAGTATCTGTCTAGCTGGCCGTCACTACAAAAATCTACACTGGCTGCCGTTCTGATGGTTGATGGGCGCGTCTCCCGCCGTCTCTCGCAGCAGCGCAGCGTCGTCGACCGGCCGTGGGAGGCGCAAAAAGAGAATCTCCTGACCCAGAATCGAACTAGGGACCTTTTGGTAGCACTGAATTTCTGACTTCTCAGAAATGGAAAGCCAATTACAGCCGAACGTGATGAACCAACTACACCATCAGGAGATTTGCGAAGGGTTGTTAAAAGCCAGGTGATATGTCGGTCGTTCCGCCCACCACGACCCAAAGAAAACCGGCATCAACGTCCGACTAGAGTCAATAGCATCAGCCGACACAGTCCTGGGGAGTGATGATGAGTTGCATGGGAGAATGGTATTCTAGAGTCATAGCTTTTTGGATATCACAAGAGACAGGTGCCGCATATGCCACTCTACTCGACAACAGCATGTGCGATAGCAAGCATGCACAAGGAACAAGGAGCCGTGCCATGGCAGGACGTGCATGGCTAGTGCGGTGCGACAGTAAGACGATAGGAACGGTGACGGTGTATCCAGGCGAATGCAGCGAGCCAGTGCCCTGCCGCGACCAGCATGCAGGCCATGCCAGGAATCAGACGAGCACGGCCGGATGTCGTGCCTGTGGCAGGGTCGGCGAAAGACAGAAAAACAAAGGTAGCGGTGATCGTAACGTCGTGCCCCAGACAGCAGTCGTGGCACACGCGGCTGGCGGAGGCTCACTCTCTCAGCCCCCCGATGATGCGCTTGATTGCATCCATGATGACTGCCTCATCCCTCGGCTCACCTCCAGCAAAGGAGCTCGCCTTGGCCCCATGCAGCACACGGCTCCTGGCGCTCTTCAGCACCTTGCGGAGATAGTCTTGGTCCTCGGAGTCTTCCATCAGGACGGACTCGAAGTTGTCGATGGCGGCATTGGCACGTTCCAGAAATCCCGGCGTCTCGTTGGCCGGATCAAAAGGCACGTCAGCAGGGTTGACAGGCGACGGAGCAGCCACAGCAGAGACGGGCGCCGGCTTGGGCGCAGACGCAGCAGCAGGCGCTTGAGCAGGCGTGGGGGCAGGTACAACAGCAGGAGGAGCCGCTGGCAATGGAGTTGGAGCTGCGGTCGACACCGAGGGAGTACTCGAGGGCGCAGGTGATGCCGAAGCCGCAGTCGGGGCAGCTGGAGGCACGAGACGTGGCCCTGCAGAGACTGAACTCACTGCAGAGTTCGTGGCCGGAGTTAAGGGCGACGAGACAGCCGGTGCTCGCGGCGCAGCAGTCGCAGCAGGACTAGGCATGGTGACAGATCCTTGTTGTGGCACGGGAGTCGCACTGGCATTGGTGGTAGTCTTGGGCTGCGAGATCGGGCTGACATGGACTGCTGGCTGCGCTACCGCCCGTGACACTGGGGGAACCTGAGACTGCGGCTGCCGCTGCTGCTGCTGCTGTAACGGCGGACGAGCGTACTGCTGCGGCTGTGGCTGCGACTGCGGCTGCGACTGCGACTGGGGTAGCTGCTGCGGACGAGGTTGCTGATGCTGCTGCTGCTGCTGCTGCTGTGGCTGTGGCTGCGACGTGCGAGGAGCGACAGGCTGTGCCGTCAGAGACGGAGTCATAGATCCTGTACTAGCAACACTCGGCGTCGGTGTGACAGCAGGAGGCGGTGCCATAGACTGCGGGATTTGGGCACCTGTCTGCTTAGCTTGCAGCGGAGCTGATGACTGACCTAACGTAGATTGTAACGGCGGCCGAGCCACTTGCACAGGCTGCTGGGAAGGCTGCTGGGCAGGCTGAGACTGGGACGAGACAACCGGCGTTGTAATGACTTGGGAGATAGGAGGTCTGGGTGACGCAGCCACCTGCTGTGGCTGAGACTGCTGATGCGCAACAGTCTGTGAGAACGGCACCGACAAAGGCGCTGAGACGACGGGTGTTGCTGGGGCGGACGCCTGAGGCTGCTGGTGTGGCTGAGCGTATCGCTGCTGCTGCTGCTGCTGTTGCTGTTGCTGCTGGTGCTGCAGCATGAGCTGCTGCTGCACCTGCTGCTGCTGCGGAGGCGGAGTCTGCACATAGGTAACCGGGCCACGCTGAGATGGAAGCACTGGGGCTCGTGGATAGGGAGGTCGACCACCAGTCGTCGATGCAACGTTTGGTGCATAGGGAGACGGTGATCCTGCCAGGCTTGCTGAAGTACTGGCAGGTGGGACAATGCCGACGCTGGGCTGCAATGCGACACGCACGGGTGTCGGTGCAGGCATGGTTGCTGGTGCTGCTGGCATCGGCCGCGGCTGGGCCAACGGCATTGACTGCTGTTGTTGTTGCACCACCGGTGTCGGTGTTTGCAGCACATGTGCCATGGGCGACTGCACCACTGCCCCTCCTAGATGACCCAAGCCGCGAGCTCTGCGCATCTGCTCTTGCGCCTGGGCAATCGCAGGCGGCGCTAGAGAGGCGTAGGGCGAGTGGTAGGGTTTACCTTGATTAGGCGCGAACGATGGCGGCAGGTTTTTGCGCAGCAGTGCTGCAACCGGGAAACCGCAGGTCGCTACAGCTGGTAGCACAGGAGGTATCGCAGAGGTCATGCCCTGCTGCGCAGAGGTAATCTGAGATGGAAGCGCCATCTGCGGCTGAGCCTGTGCTTGCTGTGCCGCGAATTGGGTGGAAGTCAACGGAGGCGGGAACTGGTAAGCCTGTGGCGGTCCTTGCTCGAGTGATACCGTCGAAGCAGTACTGAAGATCTGCGCAGCAGGCTGAGCGCCATACGGCCCATGCGCGGGTGTGCGTGTACCCTGCGAGGCCTGCCCAAATATTGCCCCGGCTTGAGTTTGTACAAGAGCAGCAGTCTGCGACGCCATACTCGCCGATTGTGGAGGAGGCGAGGGCCGGCGTTTCTTCTCCTTGTCAACAGAAGCCCCTGAGATGAGCTTCCACGACCAGCCCTTGCCATCACGCTCGGCATGCTCGAATAGGTGTGAGTTGCCATTGAGGTTGTGGCGGACGGAAGAAGTCCAGCCCTCGGTCTCGCAGCGGAAGCGGAAGTATGGGTACTTCAGCTTCAAAGCGCGGTAGATCTGCTTGAGGGTCATCGGTGTTTGTGACTCAGATAAGGCATCGAAGATGAGTACTGCGTAATTGTACGGCGGCTTCGCGAGGTCTTCGGGGGAGTAGAGATCCTCGGGTGGATAATTGGGTGAAGGAGATCGAGACGGTTTCCGCTTTTTGGTCGCGGGCCCTGACGGTTTCTGAGTTGCTGCCTGTGGCGCCGTTGCGACCCCGCTTGCGGCACTCGCTTGCGCCAACTGACCGGACCGCTGCTCGCCGTTCGTGTTCTCGATTGACATGAAAACAGCATTCTCACCTGGCACAGGATCAACCCTCTTGCGTTTCGTGTACTTCCTCTTCTCTTGCTTCATCACGGGCGTGAGATCCGGGTCTAGGGTTGCCATCATACTAGGTGGTGCGATGGGTACCGGAGCCACAATCGGCACAGATGTGGTCGCAGGTGCAGGCGCAGGTGCAGGCGCAGGCGCAGAGGTAGGCAAAGAGGTAGTCGTAGGTGCAGGCGTCGGTGCCGGCGCAGCGGCAGGCCCAGAGACGCGCGCCGACACAGGAGCCGTGACAGGCGCAGAGACAGGCGTTGCCACTGGTGTCGAAGGAGGCGCAGGTACAGGGCCACGCACGGGAGGAGGCGCAGATAACGGCGCACCGACAGGCACCGGCGCAGGCGCAGGCGCAGGCGCAGGCGCAGGTGCAGGTGCAGGAGCAGGAGCAGGAGCAGGAGCAGGAGCAGGAGCGGGCGTAGGCGCAGGCGCAGGCGCAGACGCAGGCTCAGGCTTGGGCGCAGGCACCGGCTTGACCGCGAGCGCAGGCGCGTTAGCGGTAGCGGTAGCGGTAGCGGGAGTATTTGTGTCGGTCGGAGCGACCGTCGGTGTAGGTGCTGATGCGGGTGCCAGCGTTGGTGCGGCGGGCGGTACAGTCCCCAGTGCCGGAGCTGACGAAGGGGCCGGTGACGGCCTGGAATCAGCTGCTGGTGCTGGCGCGGAACTCGAAGCAGATGCATGCGTGAGGGCGGTTGCAGATAATGCAGGTGCTGATGGCGGAGGCAGCAACCGTGGGGGCGCGGACTGATTTGCTGGAGGCTCAGTAGCAATGACAGTCTGATCAGACTGACCAGTCTGACTAGGCTGGTCGTGCTGTTTCGGCTGCGCAGAAGGCATTGAAGCAGTCCCACGGCCATCAATTTTGCGAGCTGCAGCAAGCTCCTGCTCCCGTGCGAGTTCCGCCCGCTCGCGCTTCGACATGATGCCATCCTTCGGTGGCCGACCGGGTCCGCGTCGTTTTGCAGGTACAACTCCTTGTTTGGTGGCACCCTCAGCAACGACAGCCACGGGCTTTTGCGACTCGGCAGCAGGCTGGGCCTCACTTGCGGCTGCTTTGTCTGATTGCCCAGATTCTTGCTGGGGCGCTGTGACCTTTCCAAGATCTTGAGATTGCTTTGGCGGCGACTTTGGAGGTGAAGTGTCCGTCGTTTGTGGCCTCACTTGAATTGAGTCGCTTGATCGCATTTGCGAAGCGCTCTCACCCGACGTTGTCACAGGCGTCTTTCCACTGACTGCTAGGGCAGCAGCCGACTTGCGTGCCGTGGACGTCTCGCTGGGCTGCTTTCGAGACTCGCTTACCGCATTGCTCTTGTCAACCGCTACCGTAGCCCTCGACTCCTTACTCGTCACAGTGCCAATCTCCTCGACCGTAACCTGCGCAGACTCAGACACCTCTTTGTCTGCGCAGGACACCTCCGCCTTCTTGGCAACGCCCTTCTCCTGGCTTGCCGTCGCTTTCTGAGCATCCGCCTTCGCTTGGCTTGCCGTCGGCGTCTTCTCAGCCGGCTTGAGAAGATCGATGCCATATGACGCGGGCACATTGACCTTCAACTTGATCTTCTTGCTAGGCTTAGACTTCTTGACCTTTGAAGGAGATATGCTCGCAGGTTGTACGTTGGCTGTGACACGATCAGGTGTAGCCTCGGTACCCTTCTTCTTCTTCTTCTTTGTTTTCTCCTTTGAGACAGCTTTGGTGTCATCCGCAACAGCTCCAGCAGGAGGCACAGTGGCACTCGGCTTTGGTGAAGAGATGTCGTCGTCAAGACTGAGATGAGTCATGGGCTCCTCAGGTAAGAGAAACCTGATGCGTACACCAGAGATCTGAATCTGATCGCCGCTGCTGAGT